GCGTCGTGCTGGCCGGGTCGTTCTTGCGCGTGCTCATCGTCCCGTTGCTGGTGCTGTGCGTGCGCAAGATAATCCCCTGGCGACGTCCTCCCCTACATTCTGTGCCTGCTTTGGGGTCTGACCAACGGCTACTTTGGCGGCATGGCGATGATTCACTGCACCCGCACGCCGGCGCTGTTGATGGCTGGCCAGCGCTCCATTGCGGGTATCATGGCAAATCTGTCGCTTCTGCTGGGCTTGTTTGTGGGTTCCTCGCTGGCCATGGCGGTGATCAAGGGGCTGCCGCAATAGGACCCACCTGTATCAGTAGTTTTTGCCTTCCTCGGATGGGGGCGGCGTCAACTGGACAAAATTATTTTTTTAACTGTTGAAACCTTTTCTCCTTCTCTTGTAGTTGGAATTCGGTTTTTTAATAAAATTCTTCTTTTTCTTTTTCGTAACTAGTTCCCGTGGACTTTTGGTTTTTAATGCGAATTTTCTTGTCGGTTGGGGTGGAGTTGCGGCGGCTCGACGCTTTTGTTTGTGGGCCACGCCCTCTCCCCTGAAGTCTCCTCTTCCCTTCCCTCACTCTCTTCCCTGCGCTGCCCTCACTGCGCGACGGGTGCGCGTGGCGTGCGTTCGCACGGCCAACGGGGGTTGCATTGTGCTTGCACGGTAGTAGGGGGGGAGCGGCAGTAGATGGCGTCTGCGACGTCAGTGAAGGAGGCAATTGCCCGCTTCGAGGAGGCGGAGTACGCCCGCCGCATCAGTGAGCTGCCGGAGGAGGAGAGGGCGAGTGCCCCGCGCGTTGTGGCGGCGGAGGAGCCAAGGGTGCTGCTCATCGGGATGCTGCCGCCGATTGTGAAGATGGACAAGGACATAGCGACGCTCGTGAACTGCGAGCATCTTGGCCTGTCGACGAACGGCATCGAGAAGATTGGCCCGGGGTTGAAGGAGCTGAAGAAGCTGAAGATACTCTCGCTTGGGCGCAACGTGATTCGCAAGATTGAGCAGCTTGACATCCCGCAGCTGGAGCAGCTGTGGATGTCGTACAACAAGATTGATAAGCTTACGGGCCTGGACAAGCTGAAGAGCCTCAAGGTACTGTACATGAGCAACAACCTTATCAGCAGCTGGACAGAGATTGACCGCTTGGCCAACCAGTGCCCGGAGCTGGTGGAGGTTCTTTTTCTGAACAACCCAATCTGCAACAACGCGCCGTCAATGCAGGAGTATAGGTACATGGTGCTGCAGCGCCTCCCCAAGCTGTCAAAACTGGACGGGGTGCCGGTGGACCCGGAGGAGAAGGAGGAGGCGGAGCGGCGGCGCTAACGCGCGGCCGCGGGGGGAGTGCGAGCGGCGCGGTGATGAGGGGCCCGAGCTCCTGGGGGCACCCGCCCGCGGAACGGGGGAGACCTAAACGACGTGCGGGGGGCATTTATGGAGGAGGAGGAAGGAGGAACGAAGGCGCGTGGGGAGGACGGAGTGCTGCCAGCCGTGGGTGCAGTGGGGCCATGTGGCTGGGCAGGACCGTAAACCGAGGAAGCGGAGGCGTGGCCGCCAGCACATTCTCCCCCTGAACGTGTATGTAAATAACTTGAGTGGTGTTGGGCGCGCTCTTTCTGCCCAAGGCCCACGTCACATTACCGCCCACTGCGGCACGAGGGCGACGAGGACTCATGCGTCTCATCTGAGAGCCGTCCTCTGAGTTTATTTGAGTTTGTTCCTTGACCCCCCGCTGCGGGTGCTTCTTTCGTTCTGTTCTTTTTTTTGTCGGGCTTTGGGTGTGGTGGGAGTAGCGGGGCTGGCACTGGGCTGTATAGGGAGGACGAACGGAAGGTGGGCTGCAGAGCTGCGTGCTTTCCCCGCTGCTTCCCACGGAGCGTGCGGCGATGGAAGTCTTCATCCACCTTGCGGACGTCGATTTCTCCTCGCGCTGTGCCCTGCAGGACTGCTACGTGCTCCCCGCGCGCAGCCACCCGGCAGCGGCGTCCGCGGAGGGGGCGGCAGTTGAGGTTGTTGGGGACAAAGGCGGTGTCCGTGCGGGCGCCGGGGCGTTGCCTGAGGCGGTCTTGGTGTCCCCCTATTTCCTGCATCGCCACACAGCGCATCGCAGCCCCCGTCCCCTCGCATTGCTATGGCGCTGCGGGGCATGTGGAAAAGAGCAGCCCGTTGCGAGGGAGGCGCTGTCCCTCTTCTCTCACAGGGGCGGTCACGGCGGGAGGAAAGGCGCGCCACTAGGTGCGGCGTCGCGTCGACACGAGCCTGCGGCGTGCCCCGGCTGCTATGCTTGTCCGCGGTGTAATGCGCCTGCCTTGTCCATCTCCATCTCGCGTCAGTTGCTGTACGTGGCGTGCTGCTCGTACTGTCACTGGCGCCACGGTGATGCTTGTGAGGAGCTGGAGGGACTCCTCGCCTCCCTGTCGGCTGTGACGGCGTCGAACTCGATGCCGCCCTGTCACCGTGCTGCCGCCGAGTGGCGTCGCTCGAGCGGTGGGGAGCGGGAAGCCCACGGGGAGGCGTCGTCGAGCCTCTCCCGCTCGGCAAACTCGGAGTTTACCGGAGCGGCCGTGGCGGTGGGCGGGGCAGCCCCAAGGCACGCCGCTGTGGCGCTGGAGGAGCTTCGAAACGCCATTTGTGAGCGAGCGTTGAAGAGTGCGGGCAGTCCGCCTGGGCGGGGGCCGCTTCGCCGCGCCGTGCGAAACCGCCACGGCGTCGCCTGAAGCTGGGGACAGAAAGGCAGCAACTTTGCTTCAGGGCAACGCTGATGCCTTTGTACGGGGGACGCAGCTGAAGCAAAATGGGCTCTGTCGGTGAAGAGTCGCTGAGCATTTGTCGCTTCACAATGGAGAAGCAGGTGGGTGGTGTCTTTGCCTGCTCTCTGGCCATTGCGGCGGGTGCTGACGCCAGTGAGTGGGTGACCCTTCCTCCACGCCTCGGTAATTGTGCCTCGATGCGGGAGGCGTTTTCTGTAACTCTTCAGCGCACCGGCGAGGAAAGGGCAAACGTCATGGTTGGCTTCGTTGTGGAGGTGCCGACGATGCTGCC